TTCCTATCAGCCCTGACCCAAAATTGTCAAATGCACTGATGCATATGAAAGTACCTAAAATATGAGAAAGAGAGTGAAGAGGACCAAAAGGTAAAAAGAAAAAAAAAAAATCTAGGAAAAAACCCAGAAAGACTAAATGCCCAAATAATAGTCTTTCCATCCCCTTCCTCTTCTACTCATTAAATTAAAAATCCCCTAAAAAGTTTTATTCCTTTCTCTATTTCCTAGTACCTACTATGACATTGCATGGTTAGTCTAAGTCTGCAAAAGCTTTAGTTGGAGATGTGGCAGGTAAAAAATGTCAGATACAGTCCAAGCCCTAGAGGGTGTGCAGTCTTGGAAGAGAGACAATGAAGAAACACAACATGTCAAGCTGCCACTCTGTAAAACTCCAGGAGCTTACCTGCATCACGTTATACATATACTTACCCTACATAAGTTTAACAGACATGATTGTGTTTTTTTCAAAACCAAAAGAAAAATAACTGTGAAATACGTAGGTGCTAATTCCATTTCATGCACTTAAGCCCAGCATGAAGGAGGTAAGAGACCTGGATCTGTTATTATTACCTCACTAGACTTAAACCCACTGTGCTTGTCACAATGAGTACTCTGCCACAATGTGATTCGTGTATTATAATACATACATTTCTTTTCCAGCATAGTTCTCTGGATAACAAGTCAAACACCTCACCTAGTACTCAAAGGAAAAGTAATTCTATTCCTATGCTAGAGGAAAAACTAGCTGTGTTGAAGTTATGTTAAGTCTTCAATGTGGTTAAGTTTCTAAGGGATCTTTTAGAGCAAGTTTGAATATAAGTAATTTTTGCCTGCCAGTGGAATTCAACACCAACATAATTTTTACTGCAATGATTAAAAACACGGTCTCTGGAATCAAATCTTAATTCCAAACAATTACTGGCTATGTGACCTTGGGCAAGTTGCTTAACCTCTTCATATTTCAGTTTCCTCATTTCATTTGAGGATAATGGTGCCTCTACCTCACAGGATTGTTGCAAAGATTTTAAGAGAGCATGTAAAAATGTCAAATGCTTATTAGTATGATGCCTGGCACTTAGTCACTATTCAATAAGTGTTGGCCATCATATCCCAATTCATTCAAAAGAAGATTTAAGACAATTTCACACACACATACATATATATATACACACAATAAATATTTGATAAATGAATGAACCAAAGGATCAGTATTATGTGATTCACACTATTTCTAGTAAACTTATCTCCAAGAGACTGGCTTCAGTAAACAGTAGTGACTACCATTTAATATATTCTACTGCTGTTCCCCAATAATTCATAAACTTGCTGATAAAATCCCTCTTGCTTTCTCTTTTTAAAATGACAACACTTGATTCTGGCAACCATAGAAGAGTGAAACTGGGACTGAATAGATTCAATTAACTTTATGATGGTTAAAAAAAAAGATTACACATACCAAAAATATAAGAGTGAACTTAAAAAACAAATAATTACATTATATCCAAGACAATTAATTTTATAGCTCAAATGAGCAAACTGAATTTTTCATCTTCATACAAAAACAGACCAATAAATAACATTGTTTCCATTTCTGCAAATAAACTATTTCTAATTGCTGCAATAAAGTGTTCACACTGTGTGTGTAAGTATTCCTAAAACATAGGTCTTTAAGACTGCAACGTCCTATAATATTTCACATGCAATAATGTGCACAATCACAGTATTTAACTTCTAAGCCACTTTGACACTTTATATTATGAATAAAAACATCATAGAATTTGCTAAAAATTTTTGGTAATATTACCTATCATAATGACCTTAATAATCTAAAAACATTAAGAAGCAGTACTGCAGTTTTTATCCTCCACATACTAGTTATGCTAGGTAAATAAACTTTTTTATCCAAGATTGAAATAACATATGACTTGACTTTTAAAAACCTAAGTTTAGGAATTATCAAAGACTTAAATGTTCAATAATAAAAACTGGGAACATTATTAAAATCTGAAGCCAAATATCAGCAATCACATTTGACAATATCTTGTGGGAAAGTAAATTGATAAGAAAAACATTTAAGGATACAGAAACTCAAAGAGCTGTTGAATTTATTAGATAGTATTACTATAGTATCACAAAAGATTAGAGAACTTATTTTCAGGACCAAAACCTAACACAATTTATCCCTGAAATTCAGTTTGCATGTTTTAAAAATAATGATCTTTTTACTCTTACAAGGATCTAGGTTTAAGGCAAATAAGACATTACCTGAAGACCAACTGTAATATAAAAATTGTGAAGAAGCCCAAAACATAAGCTCCTTTGAAACAAGCACCACTCAATTTTATAGTCACTTTGTCTAAAGTAGATAATATTAATGATAGATTCAAAGGAAGATACCATAGTTAAAAAATAAAATGAAATAACAAAGAAAAAAGGAAATAAGCATGGATTTCATTGAAAACAAAATAAGGTAACATTAGGGAAGAATAGAATCCATTAAAAGTTAGTTTCTTCCATGTCTGTATTTTTTTATAAATGAAATGTTGCTTGCAAAAGGCAGGACAGTGATACAGTCTCCAAAATGTGAACACAGAAAGTTTGCTATAACAGAAGATGACTTGTCATTTCTCCATTGTAAACTATCCTGATTTTAGAGACCTCCAATAAAGAATAAACATTTTTCTACAATTTATGTTAAACTTCTATCAATAACTTTTTAAATCTAGGAACAGGAAGCATGTTTTACTCATTTCTGTATTTCTGTCCAAGCAAAATGCTGGATTCACTATTCATGAAAGCACTCATTTATACAATCATTTATTCATTCATTCCACAAGTATTTACTGAGCATTCACTTAGTGCCAGACTTGTAAGCAGTGAGGAAGAACACATGACAAATCGGAGGGCCTGCCCAGATAGCTAGAGTGGAAGACACTGATCAATAAATACAGAAATTATTAGGTTCCTATTGTGATGATGCTACAAGGAAGTACAGAGTATGGTGAACAAAGAGTGGGAACTTACTTTAGTTTTAGGAAGGAGGGGTCAAAGAAGATCAAGAAAGGTTCCCCTGAGTAATGACATTTACCTCAGACTTAAAAATTAACTAGGGGTTGACCAGATTTGGGAAGGGGAGAGGAAGCCATCCAGGCAGAGGTTGGAACATGTACAAAGGCCTTCCACATCAAAAAGGAGCTTATGTATGCAGTAACGAGAAAGGCTGGGAATGAGGATGGAGAGCTGAACAGAGGACAAAAGATAAACTGTCAGCATTAAACTGAGTAAGGTTATAGTATTTGAATATTTAAGTCATTTTAAGTCTTTTTCTCATGTAAAATAATCTAAGGGAACTGGGTCTGTCAGTATTAAAAATCTGCAGTCAGAGGACCTGTACTGTGCCTTGTTCCCACCAGCTACAAGCTGCATGACTTTGCACTTGACTAACCTGAACCTCTTCATTCTTTTTGCCGGTACTCAATTATTTTACCTACTGGAAATACAGTAATACACAGGCCCATTCTTATGACCTTTATATGCTTAATGAGACACATGTATATAGGGAACAGCATTAAATCCTGTAACCACAAGCTGACACAAGGATCCTGCAAGCCTAAAATGAGATCAAATGTGGACACTGGTGAACCTGCACACTACTATAAAAACACAAATGTACACATAACTCTGTGAACCCTAAATTATTCAATGTGCAGAGATCCAAAATGACCACAGTACTCCAGCATGTGACTGAAAGATAATAAATAGAAACATTTCACCAATAAAACAAACGTGAAGTAAAAAACTATATTGGACCTCAAAGATGAAGGAAAGCTAATGGTAGAACTTAATCAAAGACAAACACTCACACACACTGAACAAGTGCATGTTATTTTTACTTATTTCCAAATTTTCATTTTAGTTCAAAAGTTCATTCCACAGTCATTATAGCTGCATACCAAAAGACAGAGCTCACTTCACACTTCCCCCAACAAAATACAAATGCCCACACTGACCTCTAGAAAATACATTAACATGCTTGCTTCACTATCACTGACTCACGTTTAGTTCATGGCCTACTTAAACTATTCTAACCTTCTAAAAACGCACAGAGCCAGTTATACCCACATAATTTTCCATTTATTTAGTTGGTTTTTCTTCCTTGTGTACTGCATTACTCATGGTGGTACATTATTCCTGACCTCATTTCATTCTAGAGCATCATACCTCGCTTCTATTTTAAAGATCATATTAATTTCTAGACCATCTGAACTTCAACCTTAATGGGAACAAAAAATACCTCTTCTCCTAGAACGTGTTTCTGCATTCAAAAGTTGGCAATATTAACAACTGCAGAGTACATTCAAAATGCAGTATATTTCAATGGTGAACTTATATTAATAGTAAGCCATAACTGATTATCTGCTAGCAGTAGAAGACTGATTATTGTTTATAAACTCATCACAAAAAAATCCTGATGCAAACGAACATACTCTAAAATTCTATTAAAGAACTATCTAGTAAGATTCATGAACTGTAATTTGTCATAAGTTAAAGACTGAACAAGCACAGTGCTTTCTGCTCAATACAAATATCCTTTTCCACTAACATGAGTCAAAAGTAATAGATGATGCTAAGAAAAAAATGTAAAAGCCTGATATTATTTATACACACACACCCAGAGTGAAGAAAATGAGGAAAAAAGTAAATAAAAATAAGCAAAAACGTGATGTTACCTCCAAGAAATGCAATGTATCTTCTTTTCTAGTAATGAGCACACTAATACTCTTGATGCTGCATTATTTGAAAAAAAGTGTAAAATAAGTTTGTGAAAGAATTTCAATCCCACTGTTGTTACTTTTACAAATTAAGAGTAAAACCACTCTTAAGGTAGGAAGGGGAAGGATGGGATATACTGTTTAATTTACATTCTATCTCGTTATCTGCCATTTAAAATGGTAGTACAGTCCATCACTTAATACACACATAATAAAATGAAAAAATACCTAAACCGAAACTGATTCTTGTTTTTCCAAATGGTCAGTGAGTCCTTCCTTTATTGAGGAAATTCTTTCGAGCTTAAGAAAACTCATCACCACACAAATGGCTGCTTAGAAATACATAAAATGCATTATTATTTGCTTAGAAATACATAAAATGAATTATTTTGCAACTTCCTACACCCTCTTCAAAAAAAGCACAATCAACCTCCCTACTTCCATTCTGGTTTGGCAGTTCTTACTCAGAAAGCTGGACTACAACTGGACTAGACTCAGATAGGGCTCTCGGTGTGTGACCTGGGGCATGTCGTTTATCTCGTCCGTTTACTCAACAGCATCCCAAAGTGAATGCTTTTGAAAACAGTAAAGGTGAAAACACACTTTAAGAATTATATTTAAGAGGGTTACGGCTTTCTGCCTTGGGCAAAATTACCTCCTTAGAAGGGCCACATCATGAAACTGGAACTAAATCCGGAGATCTCCGTTAACATCTGACTCTTCCTTCCATAGCTCTCCTCTTCCCTCAAAGGGCATAACCTGAGTCACTCCAGGAGCAGGAACACCAGCGCCCTTTCCTTCCCCAACTCCTTCCCTATCCTACTTGCTAAAGCGAGGGGAAACTGCAGCCCCCTCTCCCCGCCCCAAGCCACACCTTCAGAGGACCCCACCCCAAGCACATCCGCTCTCTCCCTTCTCCGGGGGCACCGGAGGCCAACCTCGCCCTTCCCTCCCGCCCCCACCTAGAAGAGACTTCCTGGAGGCGTTCAGGCCCGAGCAGGGCAGGCGGCATTTACAAACGCGCTTTACGCCACTCGCGTAGGGTAACCTAGCTGACGCCCAGAGGGCCCAGTTCCCAGCTCCGTCAGCTCTGCCTGCCAGCGCCAAGCCCGAGTGTCTCAGCCACGGCCCCTGTATGACCCCAGACCTCTTTTGCTCCGCGCGGCACTACGGGGACTGGGACAGAACAGCCACACCTTACCGGGAACTGAGGCACTGACTTCACTTCCCACCTTTGGAGCCCTCTTCAACTCCCGGATCAATTCACTCCGGCGACGCCGGAAGGACCCGAGAGGAACCAGGCGTTGTCCGGAATCCTGCCCAGCGGAGTCACGCAGAGGCCTATGGGGACTCGTAGTCCTGCTCGTTATCGTGGACGGCAATTGCTGCACGTATTAGACTACAATTCCCAGCACGCCGTGCGGTGGAGCCTAAGGCGATGGGTGGGGACACTTCTAGCCAATAGTAGGAGAGCTCGCTGCCTTTGCGGGAGGAGGTGAGAACAAGAGAGAGGGAGCAAGGAAAGAAGAGGAAGGGAGGGGTTAGTTCTCACCTGCGCCAATCAGGGTGCAGGGTCGGCCCCGCAGGCAGCTCACCCATTGTGGGGGCGGGCTAGCGGAGCTGAGGCAAGAGGGGAACTTGGGGGGAGCTCGAGGTGGCGAGTGCAGGGTGACTGAGCAGTGGACCCCGCGCGGACGAAGGGAAAGCATCGGGGAAAATTGCTGGGGTGTAAGGAGGATGCGGTGTAAGGAGGGTGCTGTGTAAGGGAGGGGGATGCACCCTGGCCAGAGGAGAAGCTTCCCCGAAAGCGGCCAAGTCCCAGACACACCTGACGCCCAGACCTGCGGGACGGGGAGGGACAGGTTGAGCCCGGGCGTAGCAGTAGGCAGCCCCGGGTGTGAGGGCAGAGGAGTCCCTAGAGGGAAAGGAGGCGGTAGAACAGCTGCATGAGTGCAGGGAGCGGGAAGGTACCAGGGCAGCCACTTCCCGCCGCTTCCAGCCCGGGTAGCAGGCGGAACAGCAGGGGGAGGAGCAACAGCTGCTGAATTTGCCAACTAGAGGAGCGGGAGGCGGAGCGTGGGTCAGCAGCCGCTGAAGGCGCAGCCTGGACTAGTTTGCCGGGAGAGGCGAGAGCAGGAGCCGGAGCGGAGCGGAGCGCAGCCCTCGGAGCATCAGCTACAGCATCCCGCTCGGGGTTGCAGGTGTGTGGGAGGTAAGCGTGGGTGCCTCTTCCGGGCGTTCGCACACTGTCCAAGAGAAAGCGTCTTCCAGTAGGAATTATATCAAAATACAACTAAAACGGGTCTGTAACTTGGGTTAAAGAACTGTTGCAAATCCTTTTAGGTGAAAGATGTACATTCTTGGACTTTGGCGGGGGGGAGCAAAAGGTGAATTGACTCAGGGTAAAAGGGTGTGGTTAGTGTTTTTGGTTTGAGTTAGACCTTTAAAACTGCTCTGGGAGATTTTAAGATTGAATAAAACGCTGCTGATTGAAGACAAGGTGGAGGGAGATACATGGATAGGTGCGTAGCTGGTAAAAACAAACAAAAAAATGTCATTGATACAGAATTACTAAAGAATTTTCACTGAGAAAATAACTTTGCATTCTTCTTCAGTGCCTACCCTTTACGTTGTTCTATCAGATTGTCCTGACACCGACCTGTTTTCCGGGGTGATTGTACTGCAGGTTCCTAGAATCGAAAGAGGTCTGTATTAAATAAGCAAATGCAGGCAGAGAGAATCAAGATGACTAAATCTATCAGAAGTATAACTTTCGGCAGCAATAATGTAAAAATCTGTTTTAATGGGTGGATACTTAGCTTTTCTTCCAGTGACTCTACAATATTGGAACAAAGACCAGGGCTCAGCTACAGTGAGAACATATGGTGTATTTCATTGCTGTTCCTTTTTCTCTCAGTTGTGTCCAGTAATGTTCGTACATTTTAAAAAAACAGAAGTATAAGAAAAGCTTTACGGGAATCTTTCTGTTTAGGGCGAATGTGCTGTATGGTTACCCTCATTATGTGTTATGATTCGGCCAGATTTAAAACACATGTAATAGTATCATAAAATAATAGTTTATTCTTGTTATTAAGCCATGTGTGATTTATTTGATGTAATTAAACACCTATGAATGAAAATATATTTTAATACTAGGTAAAGATGAAAGTTGCACCTACCCCAGTGTAACTATGACAAAATTGCAGCCTTTTCTTTTTAGAGAGGTATGTAAAAAGCTATTTTCCTAGTTCATTTTCTTTTTGTTACAGTTGTTCCCTAGATTACGTGGCTTTTAATCATAGTAGCGTATTGCAGCACATTTTGCTCTGAAATGCTTTCATAATGACAGTTGTATATTTCAGAGTCTGCTTGAATACTTTAATCTGGATTTTTTTTGAATTAGAGTCAATAAAATGGAGTAATTACCTCCCATTTTCTTGTTTTGACACTTTCTTGGTTTACTTAGGAATTTTGGATTTCCTATCTGTAGCACACACAAAATTCCTTTTTGAAAAGAAATGTCTGGAAAGAACTCTCTTTAGTAGATTAAAGTTCAGTCCTACTGAGTGCTACTGATAAGCCTAAGTGACTCATCAGTGAATTTACTTCTCTCCTCCAACACCCCCTTCCACAATTCTCACACACCAGAGAAATATATAAATGCACAGATCTTACAAAAATAGCTGCTTTTAGATTGTTCCCAAGCACATCAGGTGAGTATTAGAAGCAGCAAAGGCCTTAGAAGAAAGAAAGAGCAACAGTAGCCACTAAACTTAGCAACCATGGTAAGGATCCAATTTTATCTTTATCACAGGAGAGTCTATAAATTCACATAGCTGATATGACCCTGTTAAAATGATTTTAGGGGGAAAAATGAGTACAGGGGTGTAGTAAGGCTTGAAAAAGATGGTGTTTGCCCTTGTTATTTGTGATTAGGTGGGTTGTCCTGAATTAGAGTCTTAGATTCTCTCTCAGGCTCTCCCCCTGGTTGATTCTGTACAATTCGACACTGCTGTCACTGATGTCTTTCCCCCCACCTAATGATAATAATTAATAGTAATCCTGGCAATGAAGTTCTTTCAGAGCCTTTATTAAAAGATTTTTTTGAAAGAATTTAGGAATCAGTTAATAATCAAGTAAATGGGATAGAAAATGAATATCTGAACAATTGAAATTGAATGTACTTTGAATCTCAACTATTTATAGGGCTTCTATTCTGAGAAGGATAGAATCCCAGGAATGAATGAGTTGTGGTATTAAAGTACTGTATTTTTCACCTGTTTCCAAGATTTGGATTCTTTTTATTATGTCAATGAAAGAGATTGGGTTCCTGTATCATTTGTTAGGAGGAAGGACGTCATTAGCAATATATGGTACCTTTCTTACCTTGAAACCTTTACATATCTTAAATTGGTGTTCACATTAAATCTCAGACAATCTGAAGACTTCTTGCTTGTATGTTCCTAGTTTTGAGAAGGTTCTTTATATGGCAGTTTATGAATTTATGTAACACCTATTATTATGTAGGTTAGAAGTGTATTATTTATTCTGCTCTTGACTTTCACTGTTTGTGTGTGGCTATCAGTGAGTAAGTATATGATATCATGAGGAAGAAAAACCAACAGAGGGCAGAATGTCTCTTGAATGGAAGAGTTCTGGGAGATTAATGTTCTTTAGCCTACAGACCTGGCTGATTTCAAATTACAATATATTTTGAACTGTTTTAAAATTTTTAAATTCTGTTTCTGAGCCTCTTGAGAAAAAATAATTGAGTAGCATGGATTTCTCTTTCTAACAGGAGGATTCACTGATGCATGCAGCACAAAAGAGCAAGACTTAAAGGTTCGAAATCAAATGGTTTGGGTGTGGGGGGTCAGTTTTAAAGTGGGGGGATAGATATGAAGAACTGTTTGTAAAACATACCTTTAGCAAGAGAGAAAAGAGATTTGATGTTTTTTGTTAAATACCTGTAAGTGATGCCATGGCCTTTTCTTCCCAATCATAATGTCAAGAGGCCAATGTCCGTAGTAGGAGACAGTACTTTTCTACGTTGTCCTTTTACGTGGAGTCACACTGCCATTAATTCATTCGATTTTGAGTAATCATGGATTATTACAGCAAAGCAGGAAAGATCCTGCATGTACACGTTCACATCTAAGTGAGTGAATTATTTGGACATAATATTAAAAAGAAGTAAAATTCTAAAATGATGGTTTTCCCCTTTAATAACAGAGGTTCTTGAACCAGACACTAAAAACGAGCAAGAGCCCACCTACCCACCCACCTTGTAAAGCTAACTCCCAATGATAAACACTGCTTTGAGGGTCAGGATTAATTACTATAGAAAAGTAAGGATTTGTTTTTGTTTTATTTTCAGTCTTACTCCCTCTAATGTTTTCAGAATTTAGTCCTTAAAGCTTGGTGTGTTTTAAGTAACTAGATTATTAGCTCCAGGAGACAATATACATCTTTTCTATGGCCTGCCTGCTTGTTCTGAGCACCTAATTTCATGCTCAGCATGAGGGAGTGGCCCTATAACTATTTACTGAATTAGGACAATTGACCAATACTTTTTTAATGTGCTCATGGAGATATTTTGATTCAGTTGACCTCACCGAATGGTTACTATACATTAGGCCTTCTGAGAATGTCTTTGTGCTTGGTGATGAGCCTTTGCACAAGTGGCAATTGAGCACAATTTGATTCAGACTGTATGGTCTGCAAAGACTTGTCTACAACTTTGTATGCCACTGTTTCCCTATTCATCCCAGAGAGAGGAGACATGGGTGAGGGGAGAGTGCTCTCCCACCAGGTCCACCTAAGTCCTATTTTTTACAGCCAGGGAAGCCTATGGCTGAACACCATTTTACCCTAAGTAAGATACCTTAGATGAAGCTTCTCTATAAAAAGTATATTTCATTCTATAAAAACTGAATTTGCTCTTCCATTTTTCCAATTATTCTTTCCAAAAAAAAAGTAAAAAGAAAAGATGTAAGATGTTGTGTTCAAGCACAAATGGAGCTAAGCAATTGTTTTTCTGTATTTGACCTTCTAGAAACAAATTAATCTGATTAGTGTTAGAATTAAGAATTCAGATGTCATTTTTACATTATAAGAGTTGGAGAATTCTAATTAATTGCAAATAGTTCTTTAGTAGTAATATAGCAGCTATTTAACTGCTTTTTGTTTGCTTTTTAATATACTTTTACTAGCATGCTGACAGAAATTGCCTTGGAACAAATGATTGATCTTCATGTTCCTTTGGCATTAGTCTTAATGCTTAGTACTGTGCTTTGTGTAGAGTTAGCAGAGTTCATAACTGTCATCTTCACTAGATGCTTAGTAACTTTAGATTTAGAACTGAGTTTCTTTTGCTACTATATTTATTTAGAGACCCTTGTGCATAGTCTGACTTGGTAACAGTTTGTTTAAATATTTGACAACCTGAACTCAAGCATCATTTTACACTTTTTTAGAAACAAATGCAACTAGAAAAGTGAATTTTTCTTAGACATCTGTTTTGCACCAAATTCAATCTTCTGCCCACAACAGCTGCTTATACAGAACTTAATATAAATACTGCTGTTTTTTGTTGTAGTTCTGAATGAATAGTGCAAACATTGCTATTAATTGTAAACTTGCATATATATGTGTATTTTAGATACAAATTAATTAATGAGATGCCAGTTGGAATGAGTTGTCTCTCCTTGCCTCTAGAACTTTGCTGACTTAAAGATGTACTTTTGAGTAATATTCTTCATACATACATACACACACTATGACTCTTTTTCTTGACACATAGAAATAGAGACCTAGAGAAAAATAGATAAATGTAATATAGGCTTTATCTTACATAAAATTTAACTGGTCTTGAATGTTCTGTTTTCAGTGAAATTTATTGTATTGGGAAGCCTTATTCAGTATCATTAAACCTAAATTACTCAAATATTTATCATATTTGAGCCAGTATGAAGAAGAGATGAGTCCTGAGTGTGGACATTAACAGTGCTCAGTGCTGGTCTCCTGTATAGCTGCTTAAGTGTCTATGGTACCTTTAGCTCCAGCCACTGCTTCAAAGCCCCCTTTTAGTTTAGATCAGGAGAGGAGCCTTCTCAGCTCCTCACAGCTTATAATGTAGGCTGGGAAGGCAGGCAGATGGAATTTACTTGATCTAATAACCTCATTTTCCTAAGTGTATTGTTTTTCCCAGATATATCCCATACCAGAGTTCCCAGTAACAGTAACTGAGATGTCACAAAGCAATACTTATGGCACAATCCAGCCATTCAATGAATACCTATCAATTTGTATTCCATTTCTCCCAGCATCCTGGCTTCTTTTGAATGGACCTGGAGGAACTCACTGGAATACTTCTGATATTTTTCCCAAATTGGATTGCTTGTTTGATTTTCTTGATAATCTAAACTTTGTTTTAAAAAACTAAATAGTTTTATTTGAGGTCTTTTAACTGTGTGACTTGAAGAGTTCTGTTGTTTTCCCACCTTTTAGTAATGTTATAGGTACTGTATCAAAATGTACAATTTTTGCCATTCACTTGAATTAAATCAGTTATTGATTTAGTTGTTGTGTACTTTGTAAAGCAATCTAAAATCATTGAGGCAATTAATGTTTTTTAGATACACTCAGCCTTCCACTTAAGAAGCCTCTACAAAGTATCCTAAATTGCTTACAGATATTAAATCACTTATACTATATCCAAAGCAGGTTAAATTGTGTATCATAAATCATTTGACATATAAGACTGGATGAAATTTATACAATACCAGAATTCTCACAGCTGAACAGCAATGGTATAGTTTTTGTTTTTTCTAAATCAGGGAACTTGAAAAAAATTATATTACTAGGTCTTAAACACAAGGTACATTAATTAAATCTAAGAAAGGTAATTTTTTCCATATTTTAAAGTTTCTGATATGTTCTTTTAAAAATAAAATGCCAGTACCTAAAAGTATAAGGCCTATTAATAACTATTTATGTTTTTAATGAACAGCAGATTTAGCTAATAATTAGTAACATAAAACTAAACGTTTTGAAGGAGAAAGAAATCTTATTATCCAAGATAATCCTAAAAGCAAAGTTTTACTTACATTATATGACCCAAAATGATTTAACAGTTTAAAAAATAGTTTTAAAATATGTATCAGTTAGAAATACTTTCAGGTGCATGTTTTATATACAATGACATAAAATAGCAGTGATTTATTTTTCCAGAATAAGAAGTCTAAAATAAAGTAGTTTAGTTTAGTGACCCAGTGTTTTTTCCTCAATCTTTTTCTTGTGCTTGCTACAGTAAATTCTTCTGCTGATCCAGACATCACAATCTAGTCCAGGGCAGAAAGAATGAGGAATAGCTGTACCTATTGCATGTTTCTTTTTAATAGGGAAATAAAAGCTTTCCCAATGATCTTCACGTGGCCCATGCATGTGGCTGCCCCTAACTTTAAATGATGTTGAGATAACCAAGGACTTTGGGCCATTGTGGTTAATGAAGCAAGGCAACAATGGTTTGAGAATGATTTGGGAGTAACCTGTCAGTAGTTTAAGCAATAGTCTGATAATTAAAACCATATTACCTTTAAATTGTATTTTTTTTCTCATTCTTATGACACAGTACCTTCTGTTTATTTGTTTTTTCTCTAGGTTAGAAAAGTCTAACCTTCTTACACCAAGTTTTTCCTTCTCTGACTACCACATTTCAGGTCTCTGGGCAAAGGCATTCCTCAGAGACTAATGGTATCTTTATTTAAAAGGTCATCTAGCCCATGCCATATTTAATACTCATCCTGTGCTTTTCATTACAGACATATTCAGTAATACTGAAAAAGATGGTCCTATTATAAATCTGCTATGAACCTCAAAGTATCAAGAATTGCCATGTAAGCTGCATTCAGGAATATGGGTAAATGCAAATGAAAGAACATTTGACTCTTAGGATTCTTTTAAAGAATATTTGTTTAGTTCCCTAGAAAAGCAAAATAAGCCTTTGTTTCATAGAGAGAAACTCACTCTGTACATTTTTAATCCTGGAAAATTGTGTCATTACCTATTCTAAAATGTGAAAAATATTATTGATATCTATATGGAGATTATTGCTTAACTTATGACTCATTCTTATAACACATCCTGAACTTACAGTTTTGATAAATTCTGATTCCTTGAGATATGAAAATCTGAGGAGGAAATTAAAACTGATAAAATGAAACAAATACGTATTTTTTTTCTACATAAAAAAATCATTATCAAAGATGTTGACCATAGAACCTTGGTTATATTGCAGTTGTCTGCATTTCCTTATTGACTTCTTTTTTGTCCAGTTTTAACATTTCTACCATGTGATGTTAGGTGAATGGCTTTATTGGGACACAGCTCTCCAGATACAGTCACTATGTAAATTTCCAAATTATTTTTACAGTCTATAGCATGGGGTTGGGTCATATAGAGAGATACAAGATACATAAAATCACTTACTCCGTGGTGTAATCTTTTGTCAATATAGTTTACAAAAGAAGACATTGTAGTAAACATTTATATAAAAACAAGGATATGTGACTTAGTATTGCAGCGGTTATTATGGTAGAAGATCCAGAGCAGAAGAAACTGATCTATGTGGTGATCAGGGAAGGCTTTGAGGAAGAAAGGCAGTGTGGTATGTTGGTTAAGAGCAGGGAGCAGCAAGCTCTGGCCTGCAAGCATACTACCTTTTTTTATAAATTAAATTTTATTGGAACACAGCTGTGCCTATCATTTACCTCTTGTTAAGATTGCTTTCCTACTACAACAGTAGAGTTGAGTCATTGTCACGAGGACCATATGACCTACAA